CGAACCCCCCCCCCCCTTTTTAAAATAATCACATTTTGTTGCTTAGCAGCCTGAAATGAAGATAGACACAGTTTTATCCAGCTGTATTTACTCAGTGCAACTTATAACATCCAAGTGAAAGATATAACACCAACATGTCAGAAAAAAATAATCACAGAGTTGGAAAAAGGATCACCCTGTCCTAAAAATGACTTGTAAACTCAAACAGGTGTAGCTAATCACCTTCTCAATGGCACACAAAGCCATTTGTGACCCTGGGCCACAGAACCAGTCATAAGGGTCCATTTTTAGAAATTGAGATTTATACAACATCTGAAAGCTGAATAAATAAGCTTTCCATCGATGTATGGTTTGTTAGGATAGGACAATATTTGGCCGAGATACAACTATTTGAAAATGTGGAATCTGAGGGTGCAAAAAAATCTAAATATTGAGAAAATTGCCTTTAAAGTTGTCCAAATGAAGTTCTGAGCAATGCATATTGCTAATCAAAAATTAAGTTTTGATATAGGCCTATTTATGGTAGGAAATTTACAAAATATCTTCATGGAACATGATCTTTACTTAATATCCTAATGATTTTTGGCATAAAAGAAAAATCGATAATTTTGACCCATAAAATGTTTTTTTGGCTATTGCTAAAAGTATAGCCCAGCGACTTAAGACTGGTTTTGTGGTCCAGGGTCACATTTGACTTTCAGCTGTGATCAGCTGTGGTCATTTTGATTAGCCTGAAAAGAGCTTTCCTGGAGCATTTCAGTAGTGCAACTGAAGCAAACAATCAACTATGGGTGGCAAGGCACTGTCAAAAGATCTCCGGGATACAGTTGTGGACAGGCACAAGTCAGGAGATGGATACAAAAAAAATTCAAAGGCTTTATCAATGCCTAGAAGCACAGTGAAGTCTATTATTAAAAAGTGGAAGGTATTTGGTACAACACAGACCCTCCCTGGATCAGAATCATAAAGAGCTTTTTTGCAAACAAGGAATTTGTTTTGGTGACAAAAGCTTCCAGGACAACAACAGAACACAGATAATAAGGAAGAAAGATATGTTAATACAATACACATATGTATGCATACGCATATATATATATATAGAGAGAGAGAGAGAGAGAGAGAGAGAGAGAGAGAGAAATAGACGATTTGTATGTGCAGTTGTGGTATATAGATGGAATAGAATAGAATTGACAAGGAATGGAGTAAGATGTAGGGTAGTATTAAGTAAACAAAAGTGGTATTGCTCATTTTTCAGCAGTCCAAACTGTCCTCTGTAGTCTTCTGATATCTGATTTTGTAGCTGAGCTAAACCAGACAGTTACTGAAGTGCACATGACAGACTCAATGATGGCTGAGTAGAACTGTGTGAGCAGCTCCTGTGGCAGGTTGAACTTCCTCAGCTGGTGAAGGAAGTACAATCTCTGTTGGGCCTTTTTAACAATGGAGTCAATGTGATTGTCCCACTTCAGGTCCTGAGAGATGGTGGTGCTCAGGAACCTGAATGACTCTACTGCTGCCACAGAGCTGTTCATGATGGTGAGTGCAGGGGGTTTTCTCCTGAAGTCCACGATCATCTCCACTGTTTTGAGCGTGTTCAGCTCCAGGTTGTTAAGACCGCACCAGACAGCCATCTGCTCAGCCTCGCTTCTATATGCACACTCATCATCGTTCCGAATGAGGCCGATGACTGTTGTCTGCAAACTTCAGGAGCTTGACAGAGGGGTCAGTAGAGGTGCAGTCGTTGGTGTAGAGGGAGAAGAGCAGTGGGGAGAGAACACATCCCTGAGGGGTGCCAGTGCTGATGGTGCGACTGTTTGACATGAATTTCACCAGTCTCACTATAGCTGTTGCTTATATGTCAGAAAACTGGTGATCTATTGACAAATGGAGCAGGGAACAGAGAGCTGGGTTAGTTTGGTCTGGAGGTGTGCTTGGATGATTGTATTGAATGCCGAACTGAAGTCCACAAACAGGATGCCCACACAAGTCCCTGGTTTGTTTAAAGGTTGTAGGATATAATGCAGTTCCATGTTGACTGCATTATATCCACAGACCTGTTTGCTAGATAAGCAAACTGCAGGGGGTCCAGTGATGTCCTTCAGATAAGCCAGCACTAGTCTCTCAAATGAATTCATGACCACAGATGTAAGGGCAACAGGTCTGTAATCATTAAAGGAGTAGTTCACTTCCAGAATAAAAAAAATCCTGATAATTTACTCAGCCCCATGTCATTCAAGATGTTCATGTCTTTCTTTCTTCAGTCACAAAGAAATTAAGGATTTTGAGGAAAACACTCCAAGATTTTTCTCCATATAATGGACTTCAGTGGTGGCCAATGGACTGAAGGTCCAAATTACAGTTTCAAAGGGCTCTACACAATCCCAGCAGAGGAATAAGGGTCTTAAAGAAACGATCTGGCATTTTCATAAAAAAACAAAAAAAAACAAAACACATTTATATACTTTTTAACCCCAAATGCAGAGAGAATTAATATTCAAACTGGCAATATGTATTGTTTTACAGAGATCCTCACATTTGTCTGAATTGGAGTGTTGCATTGTATGTTTTAGTTGATGTTTACTGCATTACTTAATTGTCAGTTATGTTATCATTAATGTTATTATGGTGTTTTGTATTTGTATGTGGGAAACATACATTTGTATTTGTCACAGTTGCTGGACAGGCCAATTTTGATTAACTTTGGGTTCCATCTGTGTTTTTATTAGTGCATTTCACAGTAACAAACATTTTTAATAGCTAAAATGGGTTGGTATGTAAAAATTATATGATTTAATGGCATACACCACTAAAAATATACTACACCAAAAGATCTGCATTTGTATGATAAAGTTCTGGCAATTTCAGCAGCCAGTTTTAATAATATATAATAATACATACATACAAACTTATTTATTTATTTTACAGTGCATTACCATGTTTTCATTTTCTTCACAAGACTATTACAGATCCTAAAAATCTGTTTGGGTGAATCATTAAATGTATGATGACAAAGCCCCGCCCCGTTTTGAGGCATTGAAACGAGGTATTTGCGTAATTTGTCTTGTCAAACGCGTTAAGCGCTTGACATCTCTGGCTGTCTGTCGTGTTGTTCTCATTCGCGGTGTATTGAATGACGTGATCTCCAGTTTATTTCAGCAGAGGACATGCGGTTATGGGCAACGCTTTGTTGAGCAGGATCCTCGGCTAGAATAAAACACCTCTAAGAACTGAGCGAGGCATTGAGAGAGGACTATTACAGTGGATTTAATGACACTCCATCAAAGCATCACATTCTGGTAGAGTGAATCTGTAATCGCATGTTACATTGGTAAACAGTGCTGGGTGGCAAGCTTTCCGAAATGCTCGTGTTATTTATGCTTTTGATCTAAAACATAACATAATCGCTGCACAGCTCATATTTTATAGTAATGTTTTCTCCAGTACGATATATATATATATATATATATATATATATATATGACAGATCCTAAAAATCTGTTTGGGTGAATCATTAAATGTATGATGACAAAGCCCCGCCCCGTTTTGAGGCATTGAAACGAGGTATTTGCGTAATTTGTCTTGTCAAACGCGTTAAGCGCTTGACATCTCTGGCTGTCTGTCGTGTTGTTCTCATTCGCGGTGTATTGAATGACGTGATCTCCAGTTTATTTCAGCAGAGGACATGCGGTTATGGGCAACGCTTTGTTGAGCAGGATCCTCGGCTAGAATAAAACACCTCTAAGAACTGAGCGAGGCATTGAGAGAGGACTATTACAGTGGATTTAATGACACTCCATCAAAGCATCACATTCTGGTAGAGTGAATCTGTAATCGCATGTTACATTGGTAAACAGTGCTGGGTGGCAAGCTTTCCGAAATGCTCGTGTTATTTATGCTTTTGATCTAAAACATAACATAATCGCTGCACAGCTCATATTTTATAGTAATGTTTTCTCCAGTACGATATATATATATATATATATATATATATATGAAGCATGCTGGATGAATTGTGCTGAACTCTGCACTGACCTTAATCTGAAAACTCTATAACAGCAGAGCAGCTGTAGGCTCTAGGAGTATTTCCTAGTTTATGGATGGCAGAGAGAGAGAGAGCTTGCATGGGGGTTCCTTCAGTGTAAAGTAGCAACAAGCCTGTGTATTTAGAGATGCACACAAGTTGACTTGAAAATGGAAACAATTTTAATTGGATCTTTGAGTTTGAGTTTAAGAGTGTGGATCTACATGTGAACATAATTGGACAAAAAAGTCAGTCAGTTTGAAGATGCATTCCTCTGAACTTGTTTTGTAATTTCTCAGGAATTTCTGCATTGCTTACTAGCAAGCTCAGAGGATTAATGCCAAAGAGGTATATGTAATAAGTGAAGAAAGCAATCCATTAGCGTTCCCATGTCAATGGCAGTTGCTTGGCAGGAAAAATGCAATGTTTTGAGCCAATCAGCATAGTGGTAAATACCATGTGACTAATGACTGTTGAGTGTCCTGCTGATGGCACCATAAGAACTCACACAGTCCCAAAACCATCACTGAGCAACCATTCTAAACTGTGATGTGAACACAATTTGTGCTTTTAAAAGCCCAAAAAAGAATCAGACACTGGTAAAACTAACATAATGAAATATTTGCGATTTTGTTAGAATACAGCGAGATTAAAGAGGTTACAGCATCTGGCTAACAGGGACATGCTAACCAGCTTAATGTAGGTTTTTGCTACATTTTCAAGGATAATTGTTTGGGTATAGCTGAACAAACTTGTTTCTGTTCATGTATTGTATGTTTTTGTGGTGAATAAATACCCTTTTTATTTCTGTTCCTCAGATCAGAAGAGACATGGATGGATACCTGCCGCCTCAGTTTCAAGCGTTGTCAGACCATAAGAAGTTTTCTCAAGACAATTCCATGACGATGGACCAAGGCACACCTTACAGCATAAACATGAATGTTTTTTTACCAGACGTCACCTACCTACGGACCGGCATGTGTAGACCTGTGAGGTCTGCGGCACCACAGATAAAGTCGGAACCTCTGCATTCGTCTTTCAACTACTCCAGTTGCCAGGGCTCGGTAGCGTCCACCATGACGCACCCAGAGTACACAAACCTCTACAGCCCAGCTGTGGAAACGGGTAGCAATGTTTACATCAAGCATGAGACACCATCCCTCGAATTCCCAGACGTTCCACTTTTTCAGCTGTTGAATTCGGAGCTCGAGCCCAGTGTGCCTGGTGGCCACTCTTGCACAGATTCCCACAATGCCACATGCCATCCAATGCCGACGTATAACAGCATTCACCCACAACCCAGCCATATTGCAGAAAGACCGCTTTGTAATATGAGCAGCAGTGGATATTCGCTACCTGCCCAGTTTGGTCAGCATCCTCAGAAGAGGGCAGCCTATCTACCACCCTCCCCTCCAAACTCAGAACCGGGCAGCCCTGACAGGAGGAAAGAACTCATACAGAACTTTTCGCCACCTCCATCATATGCTGCCAGCATGGCATCTAAAATGGCAGGTCTTACCCCTGGACCAGCACTTTCTGTCCAAACACAAGCAGTACCTGCCCAATACAACCGCAGAAACAATCCCGATCTAGACAAAAGGAGAATACATCACTGTGATGTACCAGGTGAGATTGAATTTAGCATCTAGACACTTCAGTATGTGATTATAGCATGCACTTTATTTGACATAATATTCAAGGCCTTAAAAGGAAGCTGCAGCTTTTTCCACATAGTAGGCCAGTCGCAATAATCAATATATCGTCTTATCGCGCAATATTTGTACATGACCTCAATAATTTTTGGTGACGCAATATATCGCCCATTATATTTACTTAAAAATTAATGTCACCATGTTTTGTACATTCCACTTGTGCCTGTGTCTTTTGCAGCTTCTCGTACATAACGTGGTTGTAGTCATGAGGTGCTAGTTCAAATTTAAAAAATGCTTCTACGAACAAAGTTGTATCTGCAGATATGGTCTTGTTTAGGGGTCTGTGCCTTTGTGCATACGTTTATTCAGGTTTTTTAAGGTATCTAATATTTTGATACTTAATTTCCATGATCTAAATATTCTTAAAAATTAAAAGTTTGTGGTCATTTGGAAGTGTGTAGGCCTTCTAGCATTATTATGCTGTTACATTATGATTATATATTCAGTGGCATAAAATGGTCTTTAAAATGACAATAATATCGCTTATCGCAATTATTTCTGGGGCAATATATCGCACAACAAAAAGTTGTTATCGTGACAGGCCTACCACATAGTCAATATGACGCAGCGCAGGCTTAAATGGCTATTCAGATGATTTAATGTTGCTGAATAGATATTGTGGACTGACATGACTAAACTTTGGGCAATTACTGATCTCTAGGTTGGACTTTGACTGACTAAGAGACTTAGGACACAATGGTGAAACCTTTTGACATTGTATATGAGGCTGCTGGACATGTCAGAGCTGGCCAGAATGTTAGTTCAAAGGGATAGTTCACCCCAAAATGAAAATTTCCTCACACTTGTGTTGTTCCTAACATACGTTACTTAATTGTTTTTTTCTGTGGAACACAAAGTAATATTATTTTAAAGAACTTCTTTGCCTTTTTTTATGGACAAAAACACTGAGACTTTTTTTTCTTAAATATCTGCTTTTGTGTTCCTCAGAAATTCAAGCAGGTTTGGAATGAAATTCACAGAATATATATATATATTTTTTTGCAAACTATCCCTTTAATGTTTATATTATGGATATGAGCTTTAATTTTAAAAGTTATGATATGTATTAACATTTATTGTATTCTTATGCATCAGGATGTAAGAAGGTCTACACCAAGTCCTCACATTTGAAGGCTCATTTACGTACTCACACAGGTAAGACATTTAATAAGCAATATCCCACAAATAAGAGAGCTGTTCACACAATCGTCAGTGTGGAATTGCTGTCACAATATTTCAATAAAGTTTAACTGCTATTTATTTAACAAATATACTAATCAAAACAATCAAAACTTATCTTTACCAACTGATGTGATCTGTGAAATGTATTTATTTGTAAAACATTCTAATATAAAATATTATACATTTTTATTTATTATTTATGTATTTTTTAATGTGAATTCCATCACTGAAAGTAACGATAACTTGATGTTTTTTCAGTAGCCAGTCACAGATATGCTGAGTCCATTCAGTGAAGAATCCATAAGACTGATTCAAATGGTTACTTGACTGAGTCATTTTGAATTATTTATTAAAAGGACTGGCTCATAAGGGTAATTTGGTCATAAAAGGTACTACAGTGGTTGTGCTCAGTTTATTTGATTCACTCAAGAGAACCAGATTAGACATTTGTCATTTGTTTGTGAACCAGACTATACTGGTCAGACTGTATGTTATTGCGTGCAGCCTATGAGTGTGACTCTATGGAAAGACCTTATCTTGCCATTATTACGCAGTACACAGCGTTTTATCTCATCAAATTGTGGTGGTGTTGTCCCCTCAACCTGTATTGGCCTATGTTTTATTGCAGGCGAAAAGCCATACAAGTGCTCATGGGAGGGGTGCGACTGGCGATTCGCCCGCTCTGACGAGCTAACGCGCCACTTCAGGAAGCACACAGGGGCCAAACCTTTCCAGTGCGCCGTATGTAGCCGTTGCTTCTCCCGATCGGACCACCTGGCCCTCCACATGAAAAGACACCAGAACTAGAGCCGCCCGCTCTCGTTGTTCTGACGGTGCCGCTACATTAGTTGGTTTGGCTTATGGTGTGTGTTACATCTGTATGTGTGGCCCCATAAAACCTCTTATTTTCCATTACAGTGATAAAAATAATTGCCGCCTTATTTTTCAGAGATTTCAAATGCGTAACAGAAGAGACTCATTACAGATGACAAGCTGATGTTGTTCCTGAGATGGGAGTAAAATAGATTGGGTACATATGGGGTTTGTTTTTATCTGAGGTAACGTAATACTAGGTTTCACAGTGTTCCGTGTTCAAGATTTGTAACTAGAAGTTCTTCATTTGGTGACCAAAACAGAAAGAGAAAAACTCTAATTGCTGTAATTAAAGGTTCAAACTGCTTAAGAATGAAATGTTAAACAGACCCATTAATCACTCTAATTTGCAGCACTTAGATGAGTACAGTTAATGTTAAATACATACATCATTACTGTTATTACACATAATATGGAAGCAGATCTTTAAAGTCTTAGTCTGTTGGGTTAAACTGGAAAGTCCCGACGTCATGGCTCACATGTGATTAGGTGAATAAATGGAGGTGTGGTTACAGTTGCTAATACAGGCTGTCAGATTTGAAATCACAGAGTTAAAAGTTGATAGTGTTGAGTGGTAACACCCATTTAAATTGATACTATAATTATCTTGCCTGTATACAAATCACTGAGTAACAGTAGAAAGGCTTCAGTCATGAAAATAATCTGACATTTACACAATGCATTCTTTTCATCACTAGGGTGTATATTATTTTCTGAATCAGTTCTTACATAAGCATCCGATTCTGAACATGAGCAATTCACTTTTTAGTTTAGTATATTATTAGTATATGCTATTGTCCCAAAATAAATAACAGGTAGGCCCACACAGGAACAAAAACACCAAGTGAATAGACTGTATGATGTTGTATTGTTAAACTCCAGGATTATATATGGAGATATCACAGATACTGTACTGTAGCTTCAGAAGCATGTACCAACAAATACTGAGATGGAAAGGTGTAGGTTTTTTTTAGTATTTATCAAACAAAGGTAACATTTTTAAGTAAAATACAAGACAATTGCCACTTTTGAGGACATATTTTCCAGCTTATGGTGTGATTTTAGTCTGTCTGGCCTCTTTTTAGCAGAGGTTAGCATGCTAGCTGCATGCTAAGTCAGCACAGTCACATTGTGCCTGTAAAGACTCACTGGCCAAACAGAGTTATGTTATTTGATTATTAGTGATTGCCAGCTAGTAACTTTAAGATTCTTTGTTATATAATACTTGTTAAACATGCCCAGAGTCAGCCCAGCTGCTTTGTCTCTGAGGAAGATTGTTATCGTGAAGTCAATGCATTCATGTTTCTTTGAAAAGCCTTGTGTCAATAGGGAACTCATTTATTTTCTTTCATGGAAAGGAACAATAGTTTAATTCACTATTTGACCTGACATTTAGATGATCTTTGCAGATGAGAGTATGGATCAAACAGTAGCTCAGCTGTGATCCTCTTTAGTGAATGCCATTTACTGAAAGCACTTATAGGATCACTGTGATGTTGCTCATAGCCTTAAGAGAAAATTATTGAGTTATTTCCACAAAATCACACTGGTATGAAAGCAATATCAATGGAAATGTTTCACAAAACAACAACAATTAGCAATTCTATTTACATGTTGTTCATCTGAGAGATTTTAACATTACCCTCACCAAGGCTGCATTTATTTAACAAAATTACAGTAATATTGTGAAATACTTCTACAATTTCAAATAACAGTCTTATATTTTAATGTATTTGATTATACATTTTATTCCTGTGATGGCAAAGCTGAATTTTCAGCAGCCATTACTTTAGTCTTCAGTGTCATGTGATCGTTCAGAAATTATTCTGATTTGTAATATGCTGATTTGGTGCTCAAGAAACTTTTCTTTCTATTATCAATGTTGAAAACAGTTGTGCTGCTTAATATTTCTGTGAAAACCATGATACATTTTTTTCAGGATTCTTTGATGACTAGAAAGTATGTAACATTATTAATGCCTTTAATGTCACTTTTGTTCAATTTAATGTGCCCTGGCTTTAACTTAACGTCTTTACAAAAAAAATAAAATAATAATAATAATAATAAAAGTGACTGACACCAAACTTTTGAATGATAGTGTATCATTTCTATAGAGCTATCATTAAATCAATTTTTTGCCCAGCCAGTATTGCTAATTTGCTATTAGTTCCCTTGGGATTTTATTTATTATTATCATTATTATTTAAAATGGTGTAGTAGTACTTATTAGCTTGTTAGGAACTAGTGTAATGTTATGTTACTCAAACCCAAAATAGTATAAAAACCCATTAAAAATTCTCATGGGAATCCATGGGGCAAAAATTATAATTAAGTAAATATAAAAACATGAGTTTATGCCAATATGTTCCTTACAAAATGCAAGTTTATTAACTTCCATGCCTCCGATTAGATTATCAAACAAGTATAATGTGTAGCCTCAATTTCAATTCATAGGTCAATCGTCTGGAAAAAAAAAAGGAAAGAAAAGAAAATACAGAGAATATAGCAAAAAGCACAGAATATTTAGACAACTTCTGAAGAATTAAAATAAATCTGAAACACTTTCAACCTTTGAAACGATCGGGACGTGTCATCCTCCAACAGGATTCAATCGGAAGGGAATCCCTTTGAAGTGTAGCGGGGTAAAATATCACAACTTTACAGTAAAACCAAAAAAAAAGCTCTGAATATATTTACAATACACACACTATACATAAATACAAGAAAGATAATTACAGAATATCAGCAAAACCAGAAACAAAGGCCATTGAGTAAATACTTGATTTCAAAGAAAGTAAAGTAAATACATAAACAAAGGCAATATTTTACAGAGACTCATGAGGGGAAATGCTATTCATGGAGGAATTATGCCATACCACCAGTGTCTTAACATTCAGAATATTTCCTGCGACTGCTTGATTTCCATAACTGGGGACGCATGAGAAGTTCACACAACTTTATAAAGTTAGAGGTAAACTAGAGTCCTGTTAATTAAACAAATGTGTCCTTCCATATGAGAATACCATGAAAATCTTATGCAGCTTCCATAGGAGACACATAAAGAATGTTCAAGAAACACCAACCAGGATATTTACAGCTTCAAAATGGATCATAAGGCTCAGTGCATTTCAAAGGAACAGATCTTTGTGTCATGTCTGGGTGATTAAACCAGGGAAACCATGAAAATCTTAATAATACTAGGCACTCGTCATTATTGCATAACTTTGACCCTGTTTGCCTTTACAAAATTATGCCACAAAAAAAACATAAGAATGCCAAAGGGGAGGAAAAGTAATGCAAAATTGAGTAAAACAACCCTTTATTTTTCCGTTTTTAAAGAAATGAAATCTTACCAGTATAATATTAATCACTATAGTTGTAAATTTGTTGCTCATGACTCTTGAATACTGTGTTGTGAACACTCATTTCATTGGGTTGTTTTTGCTTTTTTCACGTTTTTAGAGTCAGTATAAAACATTGAACTTACTAAAAATGAGGCAGCACCGCCTGAATACTGTAATGAGCTGAACTTTTGATTTGATTGTTCTTATAATCTGCATGCAACTACGACCGGTTGCACTCAAACCGGCCCTACATGTGCATTAACAGGGATAGGTCAGCCAAAAATGACAATTATGTCATCTTTTACTCACCTTCATGATGTTCCAACTCTGTATGACTTTCTTCTGTAGAACACAAAAGGACATATTTTTTGGAAGAATTCCAAACAAAATACTTCAAAATATCTTATTTTGTGTTTTACAAAAGAAAGTCATAAAAGTTTGGAATGACATGAAGGTGAGAAAATGATGACAGATTTGTCATTTTTGGCTGAAGTATCCCTTTAAGATGACAAGCCGTCATTGTTCTCACGCACTGAACAGCTGAACACTTTTTATTATATTAGCTAAATGAATGTCTCTGAAAAATCGGCATATTACATATAAAGATAATCCCTTGTATTTTTAAAAAAGCCCTATTTTAATAGGTATTTACAGCCTGTAAAACGGAGCAACATCTTTTCACTTTCACATATATTACAATATCTTTAAAAGTATTTTTTTGTACAGAAAATAGTCATATGCAGATCAAGTGCCTCACATTACAGACGTTTCAAACTACAGAATATGATGATAAGATACACTGGTGATTAATGTCATGTCTATCTTAAAATAATTACTTCCATACTTCATAAAAACAAGGTGCTCATGTTATGTTCAAGCACATATGCAACAGAATACACACGGGTGTACACAAATACATAGTGAGGAACATAAAACATGGTGGATCATAATACTTCAGAATAAACAAACAAACAAAAAAATAATGGATTTGTCATCTCTAATGGACAAACGGTTACTAAGTAAAGAATGTTTCTGTTGACACGTTTCCTTTCACAGCATTTGACTTCAGTTTCCTTTTGTTGGTGACGAAACGTCCCTACATGCCCCAGCAACAGTGATTGATTGTAGAGTTAGTCAGCATGTTTGATCACCCTGCATGCACAGGCAGACTGTAAAATGAATGTAAATTCTAGTAATATCTAATCATCTGAAAAGCGGTCACAAGACTTTCTGTGGTCACTTGAAAGTGCATATATGGATAACAGGGACAGAAAACTTTGACAGCTCTCCTTTAAAAAAAAACAGAACTTAGACATCTCAGTGAAAACCTATACATTAACGTGAACGGCACAGCATGGAACATACAGTGAATTGATCAGGGTACAGTATGAAAAAGAATTAGTTGTATTCACACAAGTGCAGCATATTGCTTCTTTGAGTATCTTAGTGTGTCTATATATATATATGTTTCTTAAGAAATCCCTCTTAGAATGCTAGAACAACAGAATGAACGAACAAACGAACGAAGGATATGATAGTTAGAAATTAGACATTTCTTAACTAAACATTAGAACAGATTCTAATATCAACAGATATGGCTCAGTAAATATTTGAATC